GCTGCCCGGCCTGGAGCTGGCCGCCACACGGGAAAATACCGCCTCCGAGTTCGTGCCGAGCGCTTGTCCCCGCAGAAGTACCAGCGGGTGGTTCTGTGCAGGCCCAGTCAGCTCCAGGAATAAAGAATAAAACCAAACGTTTTCAGTATGCTATAATATGTGGCCCTAGTTTATAGATGGAGGAGGTTGTGGTGAAGTAGGTTGGAAGGCCGGTGCCACACTGGCTGGTGGACTGTGCTGAGGTTCCTAACTCTTGGGAAGAACTGGGGAATTGGATTTGCTTTAACGGGGCATTAACCGTACAATCACGGAATGGTTTGGATTGGAAGGGACCTTAAAATCAGTTTCGATCCATCCCCCTGCCATGGGAAGGGGCGTCTTCCACTATTCCAGGTTGCTCCAAGCCCATTCCAACCCATCCTTGGACACTCCCAGGGATGGGCCAGCCACAGCTTCTCTGGGCACCCTGTGCCTGCTCCTCACCACCCTCACAGGGGAGAACTTCCTCCTAATATCCAATCTAAACCCTCTCACCTCTCATTTGAAGCATTCCCCCTTGTCCTGTCAATCCAGGCCCTTGTAAATAATCTCTCTCCATCTTTCTTGTAAATTTCCTTCAGGTACCAGAAGGCCACAATTAGGTCACTCCGAAGCTTCTCCAGTTTGAACAATCCCAATCGTCTCAGCCTTTCCTCATAAGAGAGGTGCTCCATCTCTTCATCTCTTTATAGTGAGAGTCTCAGGCAGTCTTTAGGAACAGAAATAGCCAGAGAAAGAGGGTAGATTATAGAAGGCTAAAACATTTTTTCACGGGCTCCATACTTACTAATTTATCTAAGGCTGATGGCATTTTGTGACTGTGACTGTGTTTATTTCACCCACAGAGGTATTTTCCTGACACTATTAAATACCCCCCACATCATCACTCACTTCATGCCCACCAGTCACTCTGTATCACTGTACTCGCATATCTCATACTTTCAGTCTCTGTTGCCCCACTGTGATTATCCATCCTTGCCCCTCCCAAGGCTCTGTTTAACATGTTCTCTCCTTTCTTAACCCCTCTTGCCATGGTGCTGTTTATTATCTAACTCAACAACTCGTGATTTCCTCATTTCCATAGTTCTGTTCCACAGCACAACTTTGCCATTGCCTCGTTGCCCTCCTCAGCCCTTTGAGGGTCACCCTGACAGTCTCCACTTTCCTTTGGACGTATATTCCTATTAAAGTTCAATAAAGTTCAGTTTGGCTACCAGTTTGGCTACAGTAAATCCTGGTCAGACAGCAGGATGATGTGCCTGGCACTGGAAAATTTGAGAACATGGAGCAGATGTTTTTGAGCTCTCAGCTACATTTTGGATATTGTTGACTTTTTCCTTAACAGTATCTTTGTACATGGCATTCGAAGCTGTTTGCTGCCCTTAGTGGCAAGGACATAATATAATAACTCCACAATAAAAATAAATAGCAAAATCCACATAGTTTAGTGCTGTAGTCAGATCCTGCAGGTGGCTTTTGTATTAAAAGAACCAGCATAGTTGTGAGTAGATTTCCATTCAGAGCTAGAAGTTTTGCTAGGAACTTTCACCTGAATTGCCTTTTAGGCAATTCTAGCCATGGGAAATGAAGGTATGGAAGCTGTTCCAAGCTGTGAAATGCTTGTGCTGAAGCACCAGACAAGGATTTTGGTGCAGGTTCTGTAAAAGTGTCGCACTGGTTTTAGAGAATGGCGGCAGCAAAAGGTGGTTAACAGTATTTTCCTTTCACAGCTGCAGATCCTAATTTTTCCAGTGAATCATACTGGTCATAATTATTAGAAATTAATCAAAATTATTTAGATATTTCATTCTCCATCTTTGCAGGAGATGGCAATTCTGTATTACCTCACAGGAGGGTGTCATTACCAGTGGTGATAGGCCGTAGTGTAAGGGGCACAGGACTGTGAAGGGTATTTCTCCTCTGCAATAATACAAGATAAGGATTTTTTTTCTCTGGGTTTTTCAATATATAGACATATCAAAAAATCTCACAAATATTTTAAATGTAATCTTATGGGTCTTTTAACTCAACTCCATTCATCATTGTGCATGTCAGCACAAAGCTCTTCATTAATAGTATAATTTCAGTGAAAGAAATGTAAGCATCAAAAACAGTTAATGAGACACAGAGTCCCCAAACATATTAAAATTGAATATGCTCAAGTCGGTCTTGATTAACAAAAAATGCAAGGAGGTACCATAATAAATATTAAGGTACAGAAACAAGAGTTCTAATCAGTTATATAGAAGCATCTACCCTCAATCATTTTAAAGTAAGAGAATAATTAATCTAGCCATGTTGCCAACTGAGGTAGTTGAAATATTGAAAAACACTACGTTTTTTATCTTAACAGTTTCAACACCTGGCTCTCTGGCAAAATAACTGTTTTATCCCAGGAGAAAATGAGGACCTTTTACAATTTGGTGCTGGGAAAGACCCTGAAGCCTCTCTGCACATAAGAGACAAGTATGCTTTCTGCAACTGTTGTTGCAGAAAAATACTGTAAAGTAAGCACAAACTTTGATGCTTTGATCACTTAGAGTGGGTTTGCCCAAGTCAGTCCCAAACCTGAATACTGTCAAGAACTAGGATCACGTCTCATAACGAGTTTTACACCAGATTTCTGAAAGCTGAGCATACCCTCATTGCAATCAAAGCCCCGGTACGTGCTACAGCAGCTAGGGAAAGCTGGAGAGAACACTGGGAAAGCCTGCGGGACTTAGATCGGAGTGCGCCTAACCTTGAAGAAAGCTGTAAAATCTTTTTCCCACTAAAACGGGGAAAAGGCGCCCGGTTTGTGGCCGGGGCGGACTCGAACCCGGATCCTCCTGCAGGTCACGGCCCGGCCGCGCCCCCGCGGCGCGCGCGTCCTAGCGACCGTTGCGGCGTTTCAAACACACACGCGCTCCTCCCGCGACCAATCAGCGCGCGTCCCGGCCCCGGGGGCTGTCGGGAGCGTTCCCGCCGCCGAAGCGGTGCCGGGGTGCGGAGCCACTGCGCATGCGCCGCGTGAGGCGGGCGGTGCTGCCTGCGCCCCGATTCCCGCGCATGCGCAGTGCGCGGCGGCGGGCGCGGAGCGCGGTCGGCACCGAGGGAAGCGCCGGGATCAGCGGGAGCAGCGGGAGCAGCGGGAGCGCTCCCTCCGCCACCGCGGGCAGCGGCACCGCCTGCAGCCGCTGGAAGAATTGGCCGCCCCCGGGCCGCCCCCGGGATGCGGCGCTGCTGCGGCCGCCCCCCCCGCCGGGCCCGGCGCGCCCCCGGGCTGAGCCCGCGGCGCCGCCCGCGGGGCCTGTAGGGCCGGGGCGGCGGCGGCCCCGGGAGCCGCGGCGGCCGCCGGCGGTGAATGGGCGCCGCGGCGGGGCGGAGGAGCCGGAGCCGCCGCGATGGCTCAGGAGAAGATGGAGCTGGACCTGGAGCTGCCGCCGGGGAGCGCCGCGGCCCCGGGCGACGGCGGCGGCCTGAGGCGGTCGAACAGCGCCCCGCTCATCCACGGGCTCAGGTGAGGGGCCCGGGGGGCTCCCGGCCTGGGGCCGCCGCTGCCCGCCGGCCTCGCCGGGGTCTGGGCCAGCCCGCTGCTCCCTCAGCGGCCTGTGGATCGTGTCCCTTGTCCCGCCGGGCCGCCTGTGCCCCGTTGTCCCCACTCGCTTCAGGGAAGGTGCTCGCCGCGCTCCCGGCGGCAGCAGTGCTCCTGCTCGAATAAAATTATGTTTTCAGCGCTCTGGAGGCTGCAGCGTGTGTCACAGCGCTGTGGAGCTTTAAGTAAAGCGCACCCAAAAACGCTGTTCACAAGACTTTGTTTTCTCCCCCTGTAGTGACAACTCCCAGGTGTTTCAGCCTTACGTGTTGCGGACTCGCAGGAACAGCACAACAGTTATGAGCCGTCATGGAATGGTGAGGAATCCTAAGCATGTCATGTTTCCACACAGCAAGGAGTAATTGGAGTAGAGAAATGAAGTTAAACTTGATTTGTATTTGCACTAAATATCCTAGCAAGCTTCCAAGCTGCAGAATAAGCATTTTTTCACCTCTAACTGCAACCTATAATGAAATAATACTGATGTGTTGACTGTCCCCAAAAAGACGAGCAGTCTACGTTTTATATGACTCCCCATATTAAGTCCAGTTTTGAAGTTAGTTAATTTAAGCCTGTATTAGAAGAGTAGAATGCTGTCAAAATTGTCTTGAAAGGGTGTTTTACTTTGTTCTGAAAATGGATAGGGTCACAGCTCTTTGTTGACCTGTTTGACATAATGCTCTTTTTTTGCAAAGGCAGAACACTAGACCTCAGAAAATCACTGGAAGAAGGGGAATTTATTTGTTGTTCTCTGTTATTACTGCAGTTGTTTAACTTTTCAAAGATGTTACATTTCTTGTTTTCTACCCTCTCCTCATCAGGTTAGGGATTTATGCACTCCTTCCCCTGAAATTTTTCTGTCCTGTCTGAGGATAGGGAAGATTAAATGTTGCTTTTCTCAAAACCTTAAAATCCTGACATAAGTTTCTTCTATGTCTTCTGTTCAGGAAAGGTGTCAGGGATTTTTAATTCAAAGTCTTCTGTTGTGAGACTTCTTAGGAATCCAGAATTTTGGAGCATGTCAGGAGGTGTG